ATAACTCGGAATTACTCCCCTAACAGCATGCTTCCTTCAGTATAATTTGGAAAGTAAAGGTCATTCTTTAAGCCAGTACTCTTGAAGCTTGGTGCATCTAAGGATCATATAGATGCTTTTAACTATATCCAGGGTACTGATTAAAAATATTGATTCAATAAGGCTGAGGTGGGACCAGATTCTGTATGTTTAACAAGCACCACCTAACAGAGAAAACATCTAATTGCCAAATATATAATTAATCCAATGAGTAATGATCTTCCAAATAGCAACTCTCATTGGCTAACTCTGAGAAAAGTGAAATATGTAAGTTACAAAAATAAAATGACTCATGGACCCAGTAAATATTTTTCGAGTGTAAGAATCCATTCATCAATAGTGTAAAATTAAGATCAAACTGGTTTATGATAGTTATTATCATACTATACAAAGATAAAAGTTTTAGATTATGTGTTCTTCTGGCCAACTTTCTAAGTAGCAAAGCTGAGCTAATGTTATTATCTTAAGCTAATCTGATCAAATAGGCCACTTGTTTAAAGCAGTCCTGTTTTCTTTCTGGGCTTGGTGGGCACCTAGAACAGCTCTCCATCCTCAAAGAATAGGAATCAATAAAACATGCTTTTAAAAGGAATCAAAGGCTACAGGGCTGTGTAGGTAGGAAAGAATGCTCAGAATGCTTTCCTTGGTAAGACAGGCAAAGAGTTCTGGGAATAAAGAAATAGTCATTCCCTAAGGCGTTAGATTTGTTACTGGCAACCAAAACAAAAACAAAAAACAAAACAAAACAATTACTTCTAGCCAGCCTCAAATATGGCTCCCAATAGTAAACTGGTTGCTTAAAAAATACCTTTCAAAAGTCTAAACTCTAGCCCTGGCCTGTTTGGCTCAGTGGTTAGAACGTTGGCCTGCGGTCCAGAGAGACCCGGGTTCGGTTCCCACTAAGGGCACGTACCTCGGTTGCAGTTTGTCCCCAGCCCTGGCTGGTCATGCGGGTGGCAGCCACTCGATGTGTCCCTTTCACATGTATGTTTCTCTCTCTCTCTCTCTTCCTCTTTCTCCCTCCCACTCTATCTTAACAAAAAAGTGGAAAAATGTCCTCGGATGAGGATAAAAAAAAAAGTCTAAACTCTAGACAATTTTGGGTGTTGAATTCACCCTATAATTTACATCTGATAATTACACCCACCCACATATACACGTACAAGTGTGTGTGTGTGTGTGTGTGTGTGTACACACACACATTTACAATTTTAAGAACATGTATAATTTGGTAATTCTGTATAAAAACAAATAATAATCATTATTTGTCTTATAAAGTTATAACTTCATGCTATTTTTATTACCATTAAAAGTACATGCAATGGCTAAAATCCAAAACACTGACAAAAAATGCTATTGAGAATATAGGACAACAGGAACTCCCGTTCATTGCTGATAAGTATGCAAAATGGCACAGCCAGATTGGCATTTTGACAGTTTCTCACAAAACTAAATGCACTCTTACCAAATGATCCAGAAATCACAGTCCTAGATATTTATCCAAATGAGTTGAAAACTGGGGTCTACATAAAAATCTACACATGAATGTTTACAGCAGCTATATTCATAATTGCCCAAAATGGAAGCAACTAAATGTTCTTCAACAGGTAAATAAATAAATAAACTGCAGTACATCCATAACATAAAATATTATACAGTAGCTTTTTAAAAAGAGCTATCAAGTCACACACACACACACACACACACACACACACACACACACAAATGGAAGGACCTTAAATGCATATTGCTAAGTGACAGAAGTTAGTTTGAAAAGTCTACATACTATATAATTCCAGCCACATAGTGTAGGACTTCCACTATTTGACATTCTGGAAAAGGCAAACTATAGAGATAGTAAAAAAAAAAAAAAAAAAAAAAAAATAAGTTGTTGTCCAGGAGTGGGGGGAAAGAAGAAATGAACAGGTGGAGAATTAGGTCAGGGAAACTTCTGTATGAAGCTAAGACAGATGTATGATATTACACATATTTTAAAAACCCAAAACTATACAATATAAATAGTGAACCCAAATATAAGCTATGGACTTTAATAATAAGATGTTAATATATTTAATAGCTTATTTTGATTGCAAAACCATGATAAATATTTTGCCTATAATTACTATTATGTAACTGAATGCAAAAGTTGCCACCTTAATCTAGGAGATGATTACTTTTAGCTACTGGAAGTCCTAGGTGGTATTTCTCAAACTTCAACATGCATGGTGTCCACTGGGGGTCATTTCGCTTGGTTTGGGGTGGCACCTGATAGTGTGCGTCTCTAGCAAGTTCCCAGCATTGCTGAAGCATAACCACACTTCGAGTAGTAAGGTTTTAGAACGTATCTGGGTCATAAAACTATTACCACTGGGAAAAACAAACCCAAATACCTAGCAGTTCTTGCAAGGGATTAAAAGAGCTGCTTTTGTTTTCTCCTATCTGGAGAAGCTCGCAGGGCTCCCAGGACTTTTAAATCCTTTTCAATTTCATCTATAAAGAGGAAAGCTTGATAACCTTTGTACAGTACGCACGCTACCCATTTAGTCATAATACTCTCCTAGCTGGTATGAAACAAAGAATCCATTTCTAGTTCAATTCCTCCATTTATATGTCTTCAATTGCAGAAAGGTCAAGTGACTGGCTCAAGGTCACTTATCCAATAACTGTAAAGGTCAGGTCTCTGATTCCAAATCCAGTACTTTTCCCTCCATTCTCTATTGCTTCTAATGGTGATGCATTTCAGAGAATAGGGACCAGATTGTTCAGACCACAGAATCCCAGTTCTGAACTGAATAGCAAAGCCTAGGGCTTTCCATTGCAATTCCTACCACGGGCTCACGGGCTTGTGGGGGATTCAGCTGCTGTAAGTGTGTGTGTGTGGGGTTCTTTGTGGTTCACAATGGGCCGTGAAATTCAACACAATTATGTGGATTAATGAGCTTGTTTGAGTATGGGGTAAGCTATGAGAGAAAAGATTTGGATGTTCTACTGTGGAGAATGGGGCCAAGAATGATTTGTTCTATTTCTCCAAACATGATGGTTCTTTTGAAAGGACTCGCAGCCAGATGATATGTGGGAGTCAAAGGCAGGGGGTGACTCCCCCACCTTTCTAAGCCACCCTCTCTTATATTGGGACAAACACATGATGACTTGATGTCTTCAGTGGACTTCTAAGCTATTAAAGATCATTAAAACGAAAACATTTCTTCACCATATGAAGAAAACAAAGCCCAGAGAAGTGAAGGATTTTTGCTGCTGTGCAGATATGATCAGTCGGAGCCTAGATTGGAAGTTTCCCAACCCCCTACCTTCACACTGACATCAGCAGTAGGGTAGGGTACAGGGGCTAATAAATATAAAATATTCAAGTGACATTAGCATCTACACATGCCTTCCAGATACTGTCTTTTTAAGGATTCCTACTAGTAATAATTTGCCTTTGTATCCTTTTACTCTCTCCCTCTTGAGGCCTGCAGCACAGAAAAGGAAAACTTAGGATGATAGGAGCTGCGGGGGGAGGGCAATTCCTGCCCCTGAGCACCGGACCACAGCTCATTATGAAAATTCTGCTCTCATTTCAAGGAGGGGATTCCTCTGCAAGTGTGTGTATGCTGGGTGCCGGCAGCTCTGAATTGAGGAGCTCAAGTTGGGCAGCCAGACTGTCTCCCTCTGGGCACTGCTCTGACATGCTTTGTACTTTTGCTAATAAGTTGGTAATGTTGTCTTCATGGGATTAAGTGAATGACAACTAGATGAAAGGCAACCAGAATTCTGGGCTCCCATCTCTGTCTTTCTGGCGATGTGTTGAAGGTGTTCATGTGTGAAGGCTGAACAGTGATGCTACGATAAGGGGGAATCAGCCTTAGCAACTCAGGACCCAGGCTGAGAAAAACAGTAGCCTCTCAGGTCCTGAGAGGTGACCTAGGCTCTTAGAGACAATTACAAATGCCAGTTGTAAGGAGCACAAATGCCCTTTGTCCTCTCACAGGCTTCTATGGGAGTTCCACAAACTCCTAGTGATGGCAAGTCTTCAGAAAAGTATGAAATGCCTCCAAAGTCTCAGAGCCAGGAGACACACTACATTTTTTACTGGTGGTTGGAAATCTGGCTCTGGCTGACACACCCAGCTTTGACCTACTCATTCCTCACACCCTGGTCTTAACTACCAGTATGCAGGGCTCCTCTCTCCTTGCTTCCCACCATGAGTCATTCATTCCCCTGTCCTCCTCCCTCTGATCAATATCCTGTCCCTCGATCAAGACTCAGCTCCCAGGCTGCAGCCTCTGTAAGAGCTTTCCTGGCAGCTGACAGGTTGGAGTGACCCCCGTGCTCGCTGAACTGCAGCAGTAAGGACGCACACCACTCATTCGGCATTTATGTTCAGCTTTACTTCTGAGAAGAAATCATCACAAGTGGATATATTTTGTTTAACTTCCTGGATAAACAAGAATGGGGATAAAAGAAAGAAGTGCAAATACCACATTTGTTGAACTTTCAAAGATTTTCATGCTAAAAATGCCAACATGTTAAGAAGGAAACTGGCTTATAGATAGGATGGGGGCAGGGTATTTTCTTTTCTGGGTATCGTCTCTGAACCCAGTCCACAGAATTATATCTTGAAAACTTGAGGAATATAGCTTTAGGTCAAGGATAAAAAAAAAAGAGACAGGTATCAGTTTAAGATAAAGAGCAGCATTTTCAAGTGTGGCTGAACAATAATGGAAAGGGCAACAAAAGACTGATAGACACCCATGCCACAAAGAGGACGGAACACAGCCTAGGAGCTCATACGAGCTTGGCTGGGGAGGTGGTGTATTCACTGTGAGAGAGGCAACATTAGCCAACTGCCAGAGCTCTTTGCTTCTTTAAGATTCTATTATTCCACCACAAACAAAAGTGATAATGACTTGTATACTTTGCAATCAATAATAATAAAAGTACAATGACCGTGGATAACTTACTGTGCTGACAGTGAATCCCATTAAATCCTCGAGGACATTTACAAACATAGCCTATGAAAGTGTCCCCTCGATACGCTTCACTTATTTCACAGGTTCCTCCATTATGGCATGGATTAGGAATGCAGGGACCTGAAAGACAGAAAAAAATATATATATTGCTGTATAATGCATATGCTCTAAAGTAGACATTGCGTCAACATTTTGTAATTGGCCATTTTATGGAGAAGTGTTTTGAATATTAGTGTACAAGAAATGTACTAGCTGTGTGGGCTCTGGAGACCAATGGGTTTGACTCCTGGTTTAACTGTTTCCTAGCCATGTGGTTTTGAAGGATATATTTAACCTCTCTGTTTCTTAGTATCACCTCTTATTAAATGTCATTACTAACAGAATCTACCTCAAAGGGTAATGATACAGATAAAAGAAATCATACGTATAAAATGCTCAGAGCAGTATCTGACACATGGCACCCAGTGAAGTATTAATATTAAAGTCTACGAATTGTAAAAGACCTTTTGCATGTTTATAAACTAATACTGAATGATAATTTCTGCAGCTATGAACACCAGAGAGCTTTGTACTCTGATGATAAAAGAATAAACTTGGAAATGACTGTAACCATACAGGCCAAGTGATGAGAATAGCTGGTTGCAATTCTTTTTTCAAAATATGTTTTTTCTTTATTGTTTAGAGAGAGATGAAGGGACAGAGAGAGAGTGAAACATTAATGAGAGAGAACATTGATTGGCCATCTCCTGCATGCCCCCTACTGAGGATTGGGCTCACAACCTGGGCATATGTCCTGACCAGGAATAAAACCGGAGACCTCTTGGTGCATGGGTTGATGCTCAACCACTAAGCCATACTGGCCAGGCTGCAATACTTTTTATAGATTATTTATTGAGAGTCTGTGGTGCGGCATGCTTCTGGTGAACCATAATTTTTACGAATCTTTAAGAAGTACCTTGTCAAAAGTTGCAAATATAGAGAAGACGAGCTAATAGTCATTTGTAAGCTTTAAGAAAGTGACTTCGCCAGAGTGACTGGTACCTGTGATGACCAATATAATGGGGTGCTCCGTCTCCCATGGAGAGAACCATGCCAGCACTGTGGGGTGTAGAGCTGGGCCAGTCCACCCTGACCCAGAACTCCACTAATGCACATTCTTTATTCTGGGTGTCCCTTTGATGTGGCTGAGGTTCTCTCGATGGCATGGCGATCAGAGGCTTTTTCTATACAATCTTCCTTCCTTCCTTTTCTCCCTTTAGAGGTGACGGTATGAAGGTTCACCTTACTTACGTTTGCTTTCCCTTCCCTCTGTCCTTCACAAACATCCCCTTAATAATTATGTGGCACCTTTCATTGTGTCTGATGGTTGGCATGTTGGAAGATGCTAACTGACCTAGGGCAGAATCCAGAATGGAGATTGTGAAGAAGGAAAAAGACAAGTTGAAGACAAAAAAGGCTCACCCTGGGCAACAAAGAAAGGCCAAAAAATATATATAGTGTAACCAATTTTGTCTTTTTTTTTTTAAAATTGGAGAAAGTAAAACACCTTTATAAGTAAAAGCAAAATAACTGAAGAGAAAGTTAATATGTACATATCAGAAAAATAAAAGACTAATGAAACCAAGTGTCTGAATCCATATGAAGGGGTGAGTTCCGAGTCCTGGAGGAGGAGGAGTCAAGGAACGAGCAAAGAGTTTCAGCAGAGAATAGAGGGAGGATGAAGAGTTGGTCCAAGAATAGTGATAACGTAAGGCTATTGGTGGGAGCTCCATCAGGCAAGGCTATTGGAAGAGAGCAATAGTGAATGGCACTCAAGCATGGGCCAGAGCCATTTAAAGACTTGTGGAGAGCCCAGCTGGTTGAGCGTCAACCTATGCACCAAGAGGTTGCCGGTTCGATTTCCAGTCAGGGCACATGCCCAGCTTGTGGGCCTGATCCCCATTGGGGGGCATGCAAGAGGTGGCCGATCGATGTTCTCTCTCATTGAGGTTTCTGTCTCTCTCCCTTCCTCTCTCTTTAAAATCAATAATAAAGAAAAAAAGATTTATGGAGAAAGGAAATTCACCATCACCACTTTGAGCAGTGAAACCGGAGGTCAACGACAGGAATCATTCAGGGGTTGGGCAAGACTTTATAATTCTCTCCAGTAATTTTCAGTTTAAAATTTTGTGAAATTTAACGGTTGAAAAAACAAATAAAGATATGCATGAAATAGGAAACCGTGTGGCAAGTCGATAGTGTCTGGATCTTCACTTCTTGATAGAGCTAACTTTACAACATGGAAAGAAATCAATGTATCTGTGATTTTTCTCTAGATTTTTCCATACCAATACATTTACTTAACCAGGCAGTTTTGTGCTGTGCAGTACACATCCATTAAACAAACCAACACCAGCCCTTGAGGTGATACGTTGCCAAAGATTGAGACAGGAAGGAGCATTACCAATGATCACTTTGGTAGCAACTGAAATCATTGTCTTCTATTATTTAGAGATGCAAATTGTGCTACAGGACATATCTCTCCTCTTCTTTCTTAGTTTCTACTTCTTCTGTTCTTCTAAATGAATTAACATTTGATGATGCCTTATAATTTACAAATTCTTTTCATATAAAGCATCTTATTTGTTCGTCACAGTAACTCAGGGAGGTAGTTGTCATGACCATTCTGTTTTACATTTTTTTTTTTTTTTATCCTCACCCGAGGACATTTTTCCATTTTTTGTTCAGGCAGAGTGGGAGGGAGAGAGAGGAACAGAGAGAGAGAGAAACATTGACGTGAAAGGAACACATCGAGTGGCTGCCACCCGCATGACCGACCAGGGCCGGGGACAAACTGCAACCGAGGTACGTGCCCTTAGCGGGAACCGAACCCGGGTCTCTCTGGACCGCAGGCCGATGCTCTAACCACTGAGCAAAACCGGCCAGGGCCAGTTTTACATTTTTAACAAACTGAAGGTCAGAAAGATTAGATAATATTTCTCAAATAAACATCTAGGAGTGGTACATTTAGGTCTCAAACTAAGAATCTGTGATTCTAAAACAGACATCCCTTAGAGAATCGACTAATTAGGGAAAAGGGACTATAATAAAAGTGATATTAGAGTTCTGATTTCTCAGTTCACTACAAAATAAGAAAAATACATGACATGGACGTATTTTATTAACTAGAAACTGAAAATCATACATAAAACTGCCAAACTAAAAATATATCTAAATGATTATAGTCAAAGAATTACGTAATTTCAAACTAATAAGCAGCCTTGGAGATACCTCCTCCAACCTTTCAATGTTGCCAATGAGGAAACAAAGCCTAATATGAATTCAGGGATCCCCCCCCCAAAAAAAAGAGCAGCTATGATAAAAATTGGGTTAGAAATTTGTATCTCAGAGGAAAAAAAGTTATTAAAAGCAAAAATGATTAAGCTATTCCTGACCCCTCAAGAGAGTGATGTAATTCATATGAGAAAGAAAATAAATCTTTTCCATGTTCCCTTCCACAGAGTTGGGTGAGGGAGGAATGAAAAAACCAACCTGAGTTAATAAGGCCACTACCAGTTCTCGGGATCAGTTACAGATGTGATTTTGAGGAAGGTGGCTGATGGAAGTCACTTTGAAGAAGGGGCGAATATGACCCTGGGAGACATGTCGTTGACTCAACCCACTGCATCTTTGGAAACGCAGAGCTTGGCTAGAAGCTGAGCATGAGTTAGTGGGTCTTCATAACACAGGGGAGAGCTTAGGAGTCAATAGGGAAGCCCAGGAGGGGAGACCCCAAAAGCAGAGCTGGAAATAGACAGGCAGAGAGGGGGTCAGGCAGTGAGTTGTGAGGCTGTAATGGGTCAAGAAAAATAGTAGTGAGAAATTGTGATGTCTACAGTTCAAGTTGACATGGTTTGCACAGACCTTCTGTGCACTGTCTGTGCTGGATTACCCAGATCTACACTCAAGTCTGCTAGACACAGACCTGTGTGTGGTGTTCGGGGGAAGAGCTGTGCTATTCCTCTGACTTATCCTGGCAGTAGGGAAGGTGTGTTACAGCACATGATGCCAAGGGATTCAACGATCCACGGGTACAGGGGCCTGGAGACAGAGCTGACAGAGGTGTCTAACTCCTAGGCATTCTAGATATTTCCTGAGGGCATAGGTGAAGTTTGTCTGGTGATCTTGGCACAGCCTCTGGAATTCCCAAGATATGAGTTAGAGAATTAGAGATCATTTTATTTACACCCCAAAGGACGTCATGATCTCAGCTGACAGCTGGGCCTCAGAAAAGATTACCTGTTATAGAGGTCATGACTATTGTCTTTCTCTTACCCCAAGAAATTCAGTGATTTTCATTAAAGAGTGAGGATGAGGGAAGGCAAATGGGATGAGGATTTAATGTCTGGATTGCTTTGTCTGCTAGGCAACATGAAATATACATGGCGTTCTTTATAATGCTCTGTAAGAAAGTATCTTTCTAAAAATATATATCTTTGTTTTAGAGGAAAGAAAACAGCCTTGCTCAGGAGGTTAAGTAACACGTCTAACGGCAAAATCCAAGATTTTAATACAATCTGCCTCACTGCAAATCTATGTCCTTTCTATTAAGCCACACTCTCTGTCATACTGAATATCTGTGTATTTGTTGATATGATGTTATGAGATATAGATATATATGTGTATATATATCTTGACAGATGCAAACAGAATCTGCATGAATTCACTAAGCACATTCCTATAAATAATATGGGACTACAAAGCCTTCCTAAATGGAACTACTTCAGAGTATTTTCAGCAAAGAGTCAGGGTGTATTAAATATTATGAATATAGACAGGCTCTGCTATGCTAACAGTATTCTAGTTCAGCTATGTTTGAAATCAACTGTCAGACGAGTATTTTCCCACTGTTATTTGATAATAATATATTTTATATGCATAGATTGTTGCTTCTCCTGTGAGAATAAGAAAGAAAAGGACTCTGCCCAACATGCGGCCTTTTTCTCCTTGTTTTTGTCCCTAATCATTATACTGCAGACTGCTGTTACATGCCTGGTGCGTACTGTTTTGAGGTACTCGTGGCAGAGTGGGGAAGTGAGTGGCTGCACGTTGCTTTTCCCCATTAGACCATAAATTCTCTG